TTTAGCTCACAACTGTGTCTACCTCCTGGGCACTTTGTTCAGCAGTTGCTATCTTGATGCTAGGCTACACTGGTCCAGTTGTGAAACTGAAGAGTTTTTTAATCTCCTTACACCAATCTGCCAGAGTCCAGTTATGTAAAGCATTTATGAGAAACTTGCCCATAGATATAACTTCATCAGCCTCCGTGGTCATCACCACTGCCTAATCCTGCCACCTCCCCACACACTGGCTCCTGCACTCGTTCCTGCCTGTATCCATCTTTCTGGCTTCTCACCTCTCCTACTCCGTCTCCTCCTCTCTCTTCCCTCTCTCACTCTCTCTCTTCTTGTCTAGTAAAAAGCCCAGAATGTTCTTTAGCTTATGAAGAGAAACTTCCTTCTTCTAAAGCCTTCGTATCAGAAAATAGATCCTGGCAGCGTGGGTTAGTTGAATTTAAAAGTGTGAGGTAGGAATTTTTACTTTCTACCTGAACCATTCATCTAAATAAAGATAGTCTTTCTCAAATGTCTCTACTTTTCTACTCCTATTTATTCTATTAAACTGTGAATTCCTCTCTGCAGCTACAAACTCCTGTGTGGTGTGTCACTGATCTTTGATTTCCCTTCCCCCTGTCCCCCATCTCCAGCACCGGGTGCAGTGCACACTAGAAATGAATCTGTCAACATTTTCTGAACTTAATGGAACAAAACTGATTCTTACCTTGATGATTATGATACTACTCCCAGCTAGAAAATTTTTCTTGTTCATTGCTCTGCCTTTTCAAATTCTAGCTGCCTGTCCTTCTAATCTAATCTCTTCTCTGAAGCTTTCCCTTACTACGTTGGCTACATGTCTACACTGCTCTCTCTCTCTTTTTTTTTTGGTGAACTCCTAAGACACATTTTTGTTCTTTGCTTACTCTATAACATGTTGCATTTTTAATTCTTATATGTCATGTATATCTTTTCTTCAATCTAGCAGAAAAGATGAGTAGGTGGGATAGAACTGCAAATTAAATACTTATGCGAGGAATTAAAGGAGTATATAAAAGTTAAGTGACGTAATTATAAATATTAAATGAATTTGAGATAAGATTTCCTCAGAGGGAAGTGTTCTTTACAATTTACCTCTTATGCTCTGTAGTAATGTGTGATTTATATGAGTCATGTTATACTTTACTGGCAACTGTTTATGCCTTAGTTCTAGTGAATTTCCCAAAACTACAGAAATATGTGATACAACCAATAGTTTTCACAATAAACGTACAAAAATTCTATTTAAAATATTCATAAAAATAAATAATTGCACTTTCTCTACAAGTATGCAGAATTGGCCTACTAATTTTGTTAAAATAAAATCTTTACAGCAGTAGTATCATATTCTAATGGTTTCTTTTCTTTTTTTTTTTAACCAAACATTAAAATCTCTTTCAATCATATAAGTTGAATTTTCCTACCATTAGGAAAGCCTAGGGTCTATTGCTTTTAAATCACTTAATTCTAATGAGGGAAAACCTTTCAGTAAAACTACTGCCTCCATTTCCACCAAGTTTGCTACTTTTCTATTGCTCTTTTGTCTAAAATATGTGAATATAAAGTGGATTAGATCAGAGTTTAGCTGGTTATGGACTTGTCAGGACATTTGTATTAGATATTTTTAAAAAGCTTGACTATATATGGCTTATGGGGCTGTTTCCTTAAATTCACTCTCTCACCACATGCACTAGTTCCTTGCACTTCAACATGATGCTCCCAGAGGGGGACAGAGTTTGCATGAGACTCAGTGCTGAAATGCCACTTCTTTATCCTCATCAAGCAGTTATTACTCTGGGCCTATTGCTGCCCTTGTAAGGCTCTGTGCTAGAGAGGCTCCAGGGATATATCATTATAAGCTATGGTTTCTGCTCTATAGAGCAGGAAAAGGTGAAATGCTGATCTGCAGTTCAGGTAAAATGTGCTGCAGGACTTGCAAGGAGGAATTCATCCCCTGGCTTTACTGAGGGCATTGGAATGGTCTTCAATGGTAAAGTGTAAATGAGCAGAGCAGGAGACAGATACAACCTGAGGAGGAAACAGAGGCTCACAGACATCCTGGAATAAGCATGCTGTGGTTGGGGCCAAGCAACAGTCCTCAGGGCTGGGTAGAGCCAGAGCACAGAAGATATGGGAGAAAACACAGCCAAGGGCAGACTGTGGAGAGCCCTGAGAGAGAGCTCCTAGAGTCTGGACTTCATTCTCGGACAATGGGAGTCATTGACAATCTTTTTGGTTGAAAAGTGACATATACAACATGGCATTTCAGCTTGGAAGCTTAGGAAAGTGAGCTGTGTAGGGCGAGTGGGACAAGGGGACATCTGGAGGCAGAAGGATTCACTGGAAATTATTTTACAATAGTATAGAGGAGAGCCAGGACTGGAATGGTGGCAGAGAAATGAGCAGGGAAGGTATGGCTACAAGAGACATAACAAATGATGAATCGATAGGCCTGGCTGGCTGACCAGGTGTTGGGGGAGAGAGAAAAGGAGTTAACAGATCTACTTTGGGGCCCCATTTTCAACTCCTTGTATTAATTTGGTTTTTGAGGCCCAACCTCTCCCCCTTTTTCTCTGGGACTGCTTCACCCCCAGTCAGTTCACAGATGGATGCAGGACAATCCAGTCCCTGCTATTCCTTCCCTGGAATCCAGAATTAGACCCGACAGCCAAGAGTAGTCTCCCTCTGAGGTGTTGGCTGTGGCTATCTTCTTCTATGTGAACTGGAAAGCTGAAAAAGCTGCTTTACAGTAAGAGAGAAAAAGAAGCAGAAGTGAAAGAGAAAAAGATGAGAGATGGAGAATAAGAGCTAGGACTGGGTTCCCTGTTACACTTTAGTCTCTGCTTTCATGTGTCCCTAAAATGCTACTGCATCCCTCTTCTTTAATTCTGCAGGGCATCCTTATAATGCAGTAATACATTTCCTTCTTTGATTAAGCTGGCTTGGCAGGGTTATTGTTACTTGTAGCCAAAATGGTCCAAACTGATATATTCCTCAGCAGGGGCCCTCCATCTTCAGTCAACTGGTGCTCTGGCCACTCTGTACACACTTCAGTACTTTACTGACTCCACATTTTCATGCCATTTCCTTCATCTAGAATGCCTTTCCCTTCTAAATCCTGCTGACTCTGCCTGCATAAATCCTGACTAGCCTTCCTTCCATCTCTCTTTATGAAGTACTTTTTGAGTGAGTCCATAATATCTGCAAATTTTAATGTTACATTTTCCCACTTCAAGTCCCTGATTTTAGTGAACCTATTGCAAGAATAATTAAAACTATATAAAGAGGGTAAAAGACGGTGGATGGTTGTAGGAAATCAGGAAATTTATGCTCTCACATATACAATTTTTTTTTCACATATATAAATTTAAACACATTAAAAGATAGGGCTTCCCTGGTGGCGCAGTGGTTGGGAGTCCACCTGCCGATGCAGGGGACGTGGGTTCGTACCTCGGTCTGGGAGGATCCCACATGCCGCGGAGCGGCTGGGCCCGTGAACCATGGCCTCTGAGCCTGCGCGTCCGGAGCCTGTACTCCGCAACGGAAGAGGCCACAGCAGTGAGGCCCGCTTACCGTAAAAAAAAAAAAAAGATAATGGTCTACTTGGCTACTAGTACCTTTGACTTTAAGATGGGTTCAATGAGGTACCAGTAGGCCACTTGGCCAAAGCAGATATTTTACATATCATAGTATGTTAGTTAGGAGGACTATTAGATGAAAAAAGATAAAATAGCCTTTAAAAAGTAATGCACGACATTATTGCATAAGTGCTATAAATTCAATTTTATAAATATCCAGAGGAGGTCCTATAGCAAGTGAGAGACAGATATGGAACCTTGCCAATGCTTCCTTACTCAAAGTCCAGGGCTTTCTTCACTATGCTAAACTATCCCATGGGAAATGAAAAAGAAATACATCAATTTTTAGATGAGACGAAGAATTCAATTTCATTTAATTTTTAAAAACCATAATGTATTTTAAATCATCATCTATTAAAATAATAATATACTCTAGGAACCCTCTTGAGCCTCTCACACCTCGGCTATGTTATATACCAAAAAAAACCCCAAAACCAAAACAAAACAATAACACTAAAACACTTAATCTCTTATAAAGGCCTCTCTTTGCCTGTAGCAATGAGAAAACCAATCTGCTACCCTGTGAAATCTCACATAAATTCAGAACACAATGAAGTTTACTTTCCCTTCAGCAATGGAGCCTTTGTTCTGGTCACTTACAATGCCTCTGGAGAGGAAAACACAAAATTGCCTTATGAAAGTAATAAGAAAATGTCTAGCAAATGGATGGGTATTTAATGAACAAGATAAAGTGCCAAGTAATAGTTAATGTCTCTTTCCGCTCGATTCAAAGGAACACCCCTAAGACCCCAAAGCATTCACACCAGAAGATTACACGAGTAGCACTGATAAGCACGATGCCATTGTACAAAGAATCTGTTGCTAAGCAGGGCAGAAATATTGTTTACATGAAAATGGAATGATCTCTGGTGAATACTGAAAGAAAGTGATAATTTCCATAAGCAGAAAAAGCATTTTTATATTATTCCATTTCAACTGCTCTAAAGCCCTAAGTTGCTTTGGCAATTGCTTATCCCTGCTTTGTTGGCTTATATCATCCTCATCTCTGCAGCTTTCCATTTACTAAATGGCAGGCGTTTTTTTGTTTTGCTTTGTTTTGTTTTTTTCCCTGAAGCTTTGGCAAAAATACCACAACCATTCTGTATGGTTTCCAGGGGCCACCTTTCAATGGTCATACAATGACTTTTTGGTGCCCTTTTCATAAAAGCCCAGTTGGTTTATCCTGTCAGTAAAATTGCTGAAAATATGATCAGAGAAGGCTCCATTTATAGCAACTGTAAACTATGCATTTCTCTAGCTTTATGGAGCCTTTCACTGTATAGTGTTTGTTTACTGAGAACAAAGCAGGGAGTGGCTTCAGTGAGAGGAGGAAAATACAAAGCCACTTACCTGCATTACAATAAGGAGGTCAAAGACCAAGATGAAAGAAGCCAGGAAGGCTCTGGAAACTTCATCACTGGGCAAAAATCCCCGATTTAGCTTGTCCCAGCTGATCCAGTCAGTTGTAATGACAAGTACAACCACAGATGTCAGAGTGAAAAGAACCGTCCTGAAAGGAACAAGACACTCAGTAAAAAACATTAGATGTAATAATATAAACAGTGCAGAGTGCATGTGATCTGCTGTATTAAAAGTCTACCCCTTGCCAAGTACCTATCCTAAGGCATAGTCACCAAAGGAAGATGAAAAAAGAAGCAAATTAAGAGCTTTCTTTCAAAAGCAATTAGAAAAAGGTATGACAGCATCTTTTCCAAGATTTTCCCTAAAGGGCAATAAGGTAATGGTTATAGAACAAATAGTTAACAATAAAATATTGCAAATAATCTTGGTTAGTGCAATATATGTCCCAAAGAGAACATTGGTTGTAACTCTCATTACACATACATTGTTTTACTGAGGGTGGTGAACAAACATATATAGGAACATAAGGCAGATGGGTAAGGAAGTCTTTGGATTCCATGGTTATTCTACAGAAGAGAGGGAAGATAGACTGGTCCCTTCATTATTCCCTAGCCTGATGAGCTCTGTAGAGGAACCACCTCTACGTGCCAACTGTGTAGCCTCTTCTCCTCATGGTACTCATATCATAGATATCTTGTGGCCTAGTGACCTGTCCAGGTCACACCATGTCTAATCCTCCATCCATCGTTATAAGATACTAGGGGCCTGAGATTTTTCTCTTACTTATTTTTGTAGCTCCTGTAAAATCTTACATAATTATATGCAGATGGAGTTCAAAGAATGTTTGTTGAAATTGTAACAATTATCAATTAAGCTTTTTATAGAAATCAAAAAATATTTAAATTAGTCTTTAATATTGACATTCAAAGTAAATCTGAAATCCGGGCAGTGAAAATTCAATCTGCCAGAGAATTGTCCATAATGTTGTAAAGCCTCTGCTTTCAGAACTATATTTGTATATAGAGATTGTTTTGAATTATAAAAAGGAAAATAAAGAACACCAAATATTTTGAAAATAATTTTAACGTAAAGGAATAAATAAATAAGAGAAAAGAAAAATGGAATAATATGAATCATCCTGGAATTCTCTTAACAATTGAACAGAATACAAATTTCTAAACTGAAATTTTGGTTTTCCTTTTCACAACTTTTTATTTGGAACAAGTTATACTCTGATAAAATAAGTGTAATGAACTCCTCTTTAGATTTTTCCCCCATGAATAGAAAATATACATTTTTTTAAATTTTGGAAAATAAATTTTTTTAAAATTTACTTATTTTATTAAAATTGTAGACTCTCAAAAGAATTTGACTCATGATCTCCAAAACATAAATTAAAAATTATCTTTGCTACTGTTTAGAATATCTTTGAGCATTTCCAGAAATTCAAATGGATTAAATGAGCATGGGAGAAATCCAAAATAATTATTAAAATGCAAATAGAAAGAAATTGCAAATATTATATAGTCAAACATAAGAATATTGGAATTTTAAACAAAATTTTCTCCAGGTTAAGTTGATTCATTTGTTTTTGTCTTTTTGAGTTTGAGAAACTTCAAGGAAATTTGAATGCAATTACCACAATTTCTTTTGTCAACAAGGAATATAACAACTTCCATGAAGAACAGATAAATATTGACTATTCTTTGAATCTCCTTTTGGTGATAAGGGTACTTCCTCATCACTCTTGGCTTTTCATATGTGCGTTTCACAAGGATGCTATGAATATAAATAATTCTTCAGGATGTACTGTATGACCGTACAGGTTGGTAAATGGTTGGGATCCCAATTCTCTCAAGCTCCCCCTTCTTTTCCTCTCCAGCTTCCTTCACAAGGCCCCACACCTTCCTGTTATCCAGCACTACAGGGTGAAGTCTTGGTGAAACATGGGTACTCCAGCACCTCACTCCAACTCTATGGCCAGCATCCATCCTATTGGTTCAAGCCTGTGGTTGACAGGTTAGTTTTTTTTTTTTTTTTGATTTTTTTGATGTGGACCATTTTTAAAGTCTTTATTAAATTTGTTACAATATTGCTTCTGTTTTTTTTTATGTTTTGGTTTTTTGGCCCCGAGGCATATGGGATCTTAGTTCCCCCACCAGGAAAAAATGAACCCATGCCCCCTGCATTGGGAGGCAAAGTCTTAACCACTGGAATGTCAGGGAAGTCCCAACAGGTTAGTATTTTTAATATCATCCTTGCATTTTCCCCAAGAGCTACCTGGAAACTTCTTTTTGTGAAGACAGGTGATTACATTGGAATTCATACTCTAATGTTACTTTGTTGGTCTAAATATGTAAACTGATACTGTAAAATTAAATACTAATGCAGAGGAATATTTTTAGGTGACAAAATCTGAGATTTTGGAATAAGCGTTTGTTGAGAAATCACAAACCTCATCTATTACAAGATTTATAAGGGAGTTATTCTTTTTTTTAATTTATTTTTTTGAAGAATAGTTGATTTACAATGTTGTATTAATTTCTGCTGTACGGCAAAGTGATTTAGTTATACATATATATATATATATATATATATATATATACATTCTTTTTCATATCCTTTTCCATTATGGTTTATCACAGGGTATTGAGTATAGTTCCTTGGGGTATTCAGTAGGACCTTGTTGTTTATCCATTCTATATATAACTGTTTGCATCTGCTAATCCCAAACTCCCAATTCATCCCTGCCTTACCCCCTCTCCCTTGGCAGCCACAAATCTGTTCAAAGGAGTTATTCTTATTCATGCTAACAATTTCATTGTGAATAAAGTCATTAAAATTAATCATTAAGATTCTTTGGTAATTAGAATTTATCATAAAGCCTGTTGTATAAGAGCTTCCTGAGATCAAATCTGCACCAATTCATGTCTTAGATGTTTGCTTTATTTGATACATTTCATTTATCCAATATGTAATAATACTCTTCCTAAGACCTTTTCATAGGTGTTTTCCTGGCTTTATTAAGTACTTCTGTTTTGACAAAGAGTATTGCTAGAGATCTTAAGAAAAAGTTACTGGTAATATTTTATTACTCTAAAAAGAAATTAAAGGAGGTATTCTGCCCTATATTTAATATTTAATACTAAAAAAGAATAAAAATGGCAATCATTAAATATGAATCCATATAGCTCAGAGAAAGCTGTCAAAATAAGTCAAGAGAACGGAAAAAAGAAAAGGAAAAGGGGGACCAAAATACATTAATTGGTCATTCCACCTCCAAAATTATATTCAGTGCCTTATCTAGATATAGGTATGGAAGCAAATGTATTGCTTGTGACTTGTTTTTCTGAGCCACATCTTGTAAAATTGATAGGCTTTACCATGCTATGATAATTCAGTTAAAACACCAGTTTAAAAGAACCATGACTCAATTACAAATTACTGTTACAGTCATATGCCACTTGTAATGTGTCAGGGTCTGGTATAAGAGCTTTACACAAAATAGTATAATCCTTACTACAATTCTACTGTCACCACCTCCAATTTACAAGTGCAGAAACTGAGTCACAGAAAGTTCAAATAACTGGACCTGAGTTAAAGACTTTATACGTTATATAAGATATAAGATGATTCAAACCTAGGCTGACTCATGACAGTATGTGTCACAACCATTGTATGTATTGTCTCTCATAGGAAGCACTTGATTTTACACTCTTGTTACTAGGTCTGTAGCTAAGATTTCACTTATTTTCCATTTTTATTATAAGTATAATGTTGGAAAATTATCATCCAGGAATACTTAATATTGAAAAGTAAAACTCACAGAGACTCTGACAAGGACTGACAGGAAACAGTTAACAGGGATATTTTCATGGCAGTGAAAATGGACCCTCAGGGATGCTAACCATCAATGCAGCACCCTTGGGTTTTTATTTAACCAGTATGGTTGAAAAGATGTTTACTCTGGATCACGATTCTTGGGAGTTTCAGCTTCTCTTTTTAAATAGCGTCCAATTAAACAATTATCTGGATTATTTCCTTTCAATATGCAGCCAGCACCAGCAGGACATCCTGGCTCATCAATTCTACTGTCTCTGGTTTCTGGCCACCAGTCAAAGGGAAAGAACTCATACATAATTATCAGCTCGAGTGGTTAGTCTCACTTCCCTGTTTTCAGATTTCCAGTTTGTTTGCTTTTCCTCAATTGTTGCTAATTCCTCTTGGATTAATAGGAATTAGAATGTGAGACCAAGAAAGGTTAACAGAGCTTTTTTAATTCACTGCTTCCCAATCTCTGGGTTGGGCTCCTGGGAACCACAGAGTTGCTAAGAAGTGTGAATTTATATGTGCACTATGAGTTGTCTGTAAAGTGAAAAAATGAAATGTTTCCAGAGAGGTTAGGGGACTCACTCATGTCACACAGACTGCCAAGGACAGAACTACCATGAGAACTACTCTGAGCAAGGACTTGCCCTGTAGTAAACCACTTTCTCTCTTTTGCTAAAAATCTTCAGATATGCTAATTTTTTTTTTTTTGTGGTATGTGGGCCTCTCACTGTTGGGGCCGCTCACTGTTGTGGCCTCTCCCATTGCAGAGCACAGGCTCTGGATGTGCAGGCACAGCGGCCATGGCTCACGGGCCCAGCCGCTCCACGGCATGTGGGATCTTCCCGGACCAGGGCACGAACCCGTGTCCCCTGCATCGGCAGGCGGACTCTCAACCACTGCGCCACCAGGGAAGCCCATGCTAAAAATTTTAATATCATCTGGATCTCATCTGGGAACATACTTTATAGCCTACCCAAATATCTATTGTGTATGTTGACTGGAAACAGAGTAGTATGTATAAATGAATCAAGATAATCCCCCAATTTGGTTTAATTCATAGTCTAAACCACTCTTTCACACTAATTTCTGGATTTTAAAAAATACTGAACTTCTATTTTAAGTAATTAAATTAGTTAATATTGCTTTTCTTCTTCCAATCATAACCACTTTAAGATAGACTTATTGCATAGTTAAACAGCCTGAAATCAGGGATTAAATCAATAGAGAAAAGAACTGGCATTAGGCTTCGATTATCCACAGAGGGCTAACTCAGTGTTAGTTATCACACAATTTCATTTTGATTAAACCAGGCAGCAG